TTAGGGTTTAGGATTCAGGGTCAGAAACTAAGACTGAACAAGCCAGAAAACTGATAGTTGCAGATACAGGTGCATACAATGTATGTAATATATTTATTTGTGTATATGAAACTTTGTTTATATTTTCACACACACACTATATATATATATACACATGTAGGTAACACTGTAACTGCATATGTTCGCTGCTGTCTTCCCTTCTTGATATGCATCTCACGTCAACGCCGTGGACATTCAAGCAGGAAAGGCTTGTCTCAACGCTGAGCTTTCAGGTGCTACGCCTAAACCTGAGGTTCCGGACCTTGTGAGCAGACGATGTCCTCCCTTCAACATGACACCCTCGTCGTAAACAAGTGTGTCACAATCATCACGAGTCGCAGACGCATGTCGATCATGCAAGTTACTACTACCACGTAACTAGTAACACGCCCGAAGCCAATAGCCCTTAACCACTATCTTAAACCACCCGAGATCCACAACCTAACATGTACCTCCCCAAAATCCTTAAAACGAACCCTTCCTGACCCTAAACCCTAGAATCGCTCTTTTCATACCTACTTCCCCAAAATTCGAAGGCACCGGTACGATCCGAAAGCTTTTCAAAGGCCGCGCTTCAGCGCCTGGCGCGGCAGCCCCTGGCCAAGCCCTTTCTGCGTGGCCCAGAGCTCCTTCGGGAGGCCCGGTGCTCCGAAAGCCCTCGACTTAAAGGTTTAGGGTTTAGGGGGTTTTTCTGAGGTTTACCTTTCTTCAAGGTTTCTTTAAAGGTTTCTACAAGGGATCTCTAACGGATCTATAAGGATCCTCCAAGGTTCTGTTGAGGGGCTTTTTTGGTTTAAGGTTTCTCTTTGGGGTATAGCGGTGGCTTGTTCCAGAATGCTTTCGAGCAAGCAGAGCAACAAAAGGCAAAAGCATTAACCCTTGAGTGGCAATCATCATTTCTGTCAAGAAGACAACTCTTGTGAGAATGATATATAATCACAAGCATCCTCGTTATCATTAGTATTGCATCCATTCCTCCGGTTGGTGTTCAACGTCACCGTAGTTATCATCATCATCATCAGCAGCAGC